GCCTCACCAGGGCTGAGTAGAGGGGAAGGATCACCCACCTTCGACCTGCTGGCAATACTTTGTCTAACACAACCCAGGATACCATTAGCTTCCTTTGCCACGTTGCTGGCTCATGTTCAATTTAGTGTCCACCAAGATCCCCAGGTCCTTTTCTGCAAAGCTGCTCTCCAGCCAGTTGGCCCCCAGCATGTACTGGTGCCTGAGGTTGTTCCTCCCCAAGGGCAGGACTTTGGACTTCCCCTTGTTGAACTTCATGAGGTCCTGCCAGCCCATTTCTTCAGCTTGTCGTGGTCCCTCTGGATGGCAGCACAACCCTCTGGTGTGTCAGACGATGAAGCAAGGACAAACCCTGTCTCCTCAAAACAGAGGGAGACTGCCTGAGGTTTATACAGAATGCAAGATTCACCACATCTAGGGCCAAAATTGAAATTATATTTTAAGATAGCCTAAAGGGGAATTAAAAAACAAAACCCACAAAACATTGGAAATCATAAAAATGTAAACAGTTCAAACTCTCAAAAATAGAGATAATTAGTAACTCTTTTCTTAATGTTCTGGATTTTGACAGCTCAAAGTACTGTTATGTTACAGTCTTGCACTGACAGATGAATGAAATAAGTGTAATCAAATACATTCTTTCTGCTTGCTGTACATGTGATTCTATAAATTTGACACTGCAAAGAACATCTTTGTGGCTATGCCAAATTCTAATGTTTGCCTTTCAAATTTTTGACCTTTAGCAGTGAGATACAAGCAGCCGTTGCCTGCATCACAGATTTGTGGTACAGTATCTTTCAGAAAAACTGAGGTATTAGCAGGGGTGGTGGTGATGCTGTCCGTAGTGAGGCCATGATACTACGTCAGTTAGAAAACATGGAGGAAAACTGACCTGTTTGCGTGGGAAGGAAACTGAAATGATAATTTTGGAAAAAGGATTTGAAATACACTGATACTTGGCTGGGATGTGAATGCTGAGTGGCTTCTGATGTGCCACAGTCAAACCCCAGCAAGCAGCATGATCTGCCATTCTGCGGGGAGCAGCACCCCTGCACTCAGCACACGGCAGCCTCCTAGCATTGTTTTTTAAATGATATCTTGCAAAAAAAAAATTGTAAAAAACCCTGTTAAAGCAAATTGAGAAAATGCAAGCATACAGTCAACCTGGTATCCTGTGAAAAGAATTACTGATGGTACATTATGGGTAGATGAAGTTCAAACTACCAAAACCAAAATCTAGTTCAGATAGCAGGTATTTGTCTTATGGTAGCAGTTGGGGTGCCTGCCCTCCCCTCCTCGGACGTTACACCTCATGATTCAGACCATCAAAAGTGACCCAAAAGGATTCTTTGACCTCCCCTTTCACAATGTATTTTGAGCTTTTGTCTATGCCTGCATGCCCTAAATATTTTCAAGCTCTTTTCTGCGTTTGTGAAGTTTAATACTATTAAGCAGTATCTGGTTTGTATACTGCACTTTTTTTTTAAATAGAAGCTAAGATTTTTATGTAGTTTTCTGATTCCAACACCTGGTTTAATCGTGTTATGACTAAATTTGGAAAAATTACCATTTGTCATCTAAGTAGGGTATATCCAGAGAACGCACTGTATCGCACAGCGCAGTTTGGGGGCAGGAACTAGGCTAAGATACAACCTAAACAAAGAAAGGGAGTGGACCCTTCTTCCTCCTCGCCTCCCTCCTTGAAAGTGCAGAAAGACCTTCCCCTTCCTCTGGCTGTTACAGTAAGAGCAACAACTCCACAGAGAAGATGTGGTCATAGACCCATACTGTTAGAAATGAAAAGGAGCAACAAGCACCACCAGGACAGTTTTCTTGTTCTTGATGTGCACACCTAAACATAGCAATAAAAAAGTCAAGAAGTACAAGACTGGAAAAGAAAGCATAACCATCTGTTGAACTGATAACCCACAAATCCCACGTTGAAACTAGTGTGAAAAGTAGCCTGCTTCTATGATTCATTACCATTCATCATTTCAGCCAGTGAAAATTTTATTTTCCTAGTATTTTGTATTTTTCTCATATGTGTTTGCAACCATTCAGTTTACATTTGTTTGCAATTTCAAATGTATAGAATGGCCCCAATTCTTTTTTCTTGTCTCTAGCTATTCTATTTTGGAACAGCCAACAAAACCCCAGCAACAACAACAAAACAAATGAATAATTTTGGATGTGAGGTCTGTTTGCTTTGAAAAACATCAGTATGTTGGTGCATCAAAATGTTGCCAAATTAACTGTCTTTCTCCTTTCCAAGAGAGATGATTCTGAATTAGGAGGCTTGCAAAATAGATCAAAGGGAAGAATTTTGTCCAGGCTACTTCTATTGCAGGTTCAGTTGGTAATTACAGTGCTCAATTCTGGTCTAGGACAATGTAAATGGCAGCCTTTATTTTCTGTATCTTATTTAGTCAGGTCTTGTGATTGTTCACTGCATATCTGAGATCAAATATGTCATTGATAAATTCAGAGGAGCCCTGAGGAACAAGACAGTGACTCACGCATCCCATGGTTCAGATTAGGTAAAGGCAAAGGGGGCACTAAACAACAGAATAAAATATGGTTTGATGACTGACAACACTGCCACTATGGATTGCTCCTAAATAATCTAATTTGATTTACAAGAATTCCATGTAAATATAATCCATTTCTCAAGGAAGTGTCTTGTCATTTATAGTTTAGCATGAAATATATGGCACGGGGAGAATGATTTCAATTCAGTAAGCTCGTGTTTGTGCAGCAACAAAAGAATGAGAAGGTGTGCCTGCAACAGAGAGGCAGGGTGTACCGGGGCAGCTCTCACTCCCACTGCAGGTCAGCTGGAAGGAGCGACTGCCGCCTTCAGGTCTCCAGTGGGTCCCACATTGGGGTGTTTCAGAGATCCTCCTTCCAGCCTCAAGACTAAATTTTCTTGAATCTCTGTGAGGTAATGTGTTCTGATTGCAAATGTGCTAAATTACCTCACCCACAAGAAACTTAGAGAAATGCATCTCCAGGTGGAAGGGATGAAAATACAGGCTGGTAAGTGTTTGGGGGGACAGTTCTGCAGGGAGCTGATACTTTCAGGTTCCCATTTAGTGTAGTCATTCTGCCTGCCTATAGCTGTGCAGGTAATGAGTCTCTGGGCTGCACAATCCATGACCACTTGTATTTTCAGCCGCAAATGTGACCAAAACAAAGCCCGCTTTTAGAAATGTTTCTGGCAAGCTGTGTTGCCTCCTTTCTCCAGCATGGGTAAATTTGTTAAAACAGGTTTAATCATGGGAAACTAGTGGATTTCTTAGTCCCTGACGCCCCTTCTTCACAGGCAAGTACTCTTTCGTTTTATATGCTTTTTCAGAGACGAAAGGGAATCTTTATGTGAGAGCTTCATGACAAAGTACTGGCAGCAGAGCAACAGAAATAACGCTGTAGTCTCATGATTATATTCTAATAGCTTGCTTTTTATTTTAAGATACTCAAACCTAATCCCCCAGGTTAGCCCAATCACAGTCTCCAATGTAGCATTGTGTTCAGCTATTAGCAGGTGGTTTTTAAAGCCCTCTTTAGATGATACACGGGGCCCACATAGTGAAGTCAATTGTTAGACAGGATATAATTTAGACTTCAGCTCTTCCTCTCAGTTTGAAATAAAATGATTACATTTCAGGAGAGCCTAAGGGAAGATTAAAAGTTTTATATCAAAAGTTGAATATTTTCTTTTGTTGTACACTCTTCTTTTAAAGAAAATGGTATTCATTTAAAATAATGCATGTTCTGATGAATTTGAAAAGGCACTACTCTGAATTAAAAAGAAGTTCATAAAGTATGCATGTATGGGAGAGGAAGATTGCAATCTTCATTTGAGTGTTTAGTCAAAGGTTTTTAACGCAGCCCATTCTGCTTTGTTCATAGAATGAGGTATCCGCAAAGATGCGTTGTAAATAACAGATGGCCCATAGCGTTTAGAGAGCAGCGGTTAAGGTGACAAAATCTTCTGGGGCTCCTCTCCACAGGCAGGTTATAAAGCAATATTATAGCCTCTGTTCCAGACTGGAAAATGGTCCTTGCCTGTCTTTAAACCCATTAAAAGTGGTTCCAGGCAATAGCTCCACATAATTATAGTTCTGGTAACCCCTGTGATGCCTCTCATTTCTCGTATCCCAAAGTTATCCAAGGGCAGAGGCCACTTGTAGAATACAAAGTTGTAAAGCTGACATGGGTCTTAAAAATAGATGGACTAGCCCAGATATGAACAGAGTAAGAAGTGAAGAGTAAGATATGAACAACAGGATTAAGTTACCATCTGATAAGGTCGGCTAGCTTTTACCATTGATATCAGAGGGGCTGTTTTACCAAGGATGCCCTGGGCACATTTGTAAAAAAGCATTACCTATTAAAGGGAATTCCTGGAAACTTCCTAAAAGCCAATGTGTACATGCAGTGAAGTCTCTTGTAGGAGTTCACCACATCAGCCAAATGAGCATAGATCTTCTTCTTCCAGAAGCCATCAGAAGAGTCTAAATATAACACTGCTGTAGTTAAGTAGCTTGCTTTCACACCTGTTAAAATGAAGAGTGCAAAACCTGTTATTGTTACTAATGGGGGTGGTCATTGAACTGGCAAGTTGAAGTTTTCTTGTGATTTTATTGCAGAAAAAAAAGTTAATTTCTTTCAGTATATTCTTCTGTAAAAAAGAAATCAATTCTTTTACCTGTTAGCACTAATGCATACTACTATTTTAAGGCAGCATTAACAACATGGGTTTATGTTCATTTGCCTAATATCAGTGGTGCTTGTTTTCACATGTGGATACCTGACCATGGGAACCTAGGTTAACGCTACCACATTAGCCTCCATACTGCCAATTAAACAGACAATAATAACTATTGAGGTTGACTGAGGATTTAAGAAGGATGGGTGCTCATGGTACAGAATGGTGAAGGTCTGTGTTCAGTTGATATTATCTCTTGCAAAGGATATGAATTGTTAATGTGCTGTTATTCCAGATTTCTAGAAGAACTGATGTGGTGGGGGAATTAAGACGACAATTAATGGCCACTGAGGAAGACGACAGTTTATCATATCCTCCTCTGAATGTGACCACTGGAAATGATACATGCATCCTTTTTTATGCTAGTAATTTCAGCCTCAAAGCCAACAGTTCCGTTCTTATAGATCTGACAAATGCAACATTTGTAATGCAAAATGTGGATATTTCTTCCTCTGAGTGCTCAGACATCAACACAACGTGAGTAGCACAAGAAATTTTATATCATAATACATGTGATTCTGAAAACTAATCAGAAATGGTGCAATGTCAAGTTAATACTAATTTAATTCTCTTCTTCTAAAGCATCCAAAATAAAAACTACTAAATTGGATATTCCTAGAAGAAAAAGAACTAGTCAAGACCACAAAAAATTGTTCAGATGCAAGCTCTTATTTTCACAATTTTTTTTCCTCTTACGTTCCTTACTTCCTTGTTTGTTTATATTTGGTCCAAACAGGTTTCTGTGTGCCCAATCTCGTAATCACAGAAGTCTCCACTGGCATTAATGAGATCATCATTTCATTGTAAAACTCCCTTGAAGGGGAGTATTGCCAGTTCCTAGGTAGTAATTCAGCTGGAAGTATATTAATGAAACATGATCTCTGTTTTCCTTTACTTTGAAGCACCTGCTCTTGGGTAAAAAAAACTCTAGAAATATTTTGTCATATTATTCTGTGTACTGAACCTTTGCTATATGACTTTTGTAATTGCCTATTGATTTAGAATATTCCCTCCGATTGAAATGTCACAATGATCTAATTAAAGCTGACTACTCTAACATTAAAAATCTGTTTCTTATTCTTAGACTGTCATTAAAATACACAAAGCCAGTGAATGGAATCAGCAGCCTAGAGATAAGGTAACTTACGATTTATTCTTAAATAGATCCTTCTGATGTACAAAGCCTATTTGTAAATTAGGAGCAAAAAAAAAGAGGAGGAGTTAAGTAAAAATGTTTTTGAAATTATGATTTGCTTTCTATTCTGAGGAGTTACTATGCAGGAGAGCAATAGTAGAGTCTTTATATAGAGAATATATTAATATGCTCAGGTAAAGTTTTGAAAAAGTGGTGTAGGCAAATAACCATACTGCAAGGTACTGGTATATGCAATATCCTGTTTTGCTAATAGGATCAGACCATGATCCTGTCTCAGGGAAATCTGACTGTGATTTGTAAACAATTCTAGGGGCTCAAGTCTACTTGCATAGCCAGGGTTGTATTTAGTCCTCATGTGATTACCAGTGTACCCTGTCAGAGCTAGCTTGTGGCTAATGACGGGTACAAAAACTCGTAATTTCTCTGCTCCATGGATGGTGACAAGACCACATTTCTCCTACCATGAGAAAAGAGAAGAAAAGTTAGGGACTGGGAAGGCTTGGGATGAAAAGTCAAAGGGAGAACTTGCAGTGGTTGCTCTCACTAGTGGATTCTAGAGAAGGGGAAAGCATCTGCTACTGTTTGAGGACTGCCATACAGCTGCTGGTCCACAAACCTCCATTCTTTCCTCAGCAGCAGGAACAGCAGTTGAAATTATTTTCTTGAGCTCTGACAATGATGATGTGGCCTGCTCTTTTCATTTAGGTACCTCAGTTAATTGCATAAATTTCTTTGGGAAGGACTTGGGCCAGGGAACTTGCACCAAATTAAATTTGCATATATCAGAGGATGAACTGGATGTGTGCTTGGGCAGCAGGAGGACAAATTACCTTTGCCATCTAAAACGCTTTTGACATCTTGAATAAGGGAAATTGAAATCCAGGGAAACCAAAGAGAGAAAGTTTAAATGTAGGAGACAATCAGAGCTTGAGCAACATTTTGATGGGAGAGTAAAAGAGGCACGTGGCACCAAGATGATAAGCACAAATGAATAAATACTATTATTTACACTGAGATAGAAGGACATTCTACATTTAGGTTAAAGGACCCCCAGAAGAACTTGTGCTGAAGTGAGTCAGTGATGTGTTTGCAGTTGTATTTGGCGTGCCTAGAGACACTTGCAGTCATCGTCAGAGACCATGATAGGTGGCAAAAAACCATACATGCTTTGTTATTTAATATCTACCCTCCCCAGCAAGCATCCAGAGCTTTGTGAAAAAAACATAATGTACAAATAAGGTTGCTGTTAGTATAGTATTTTTACTTTTTTGACTATTGTAGTTAGTTCCGTATAGGATCCTTGAGACTCGTCCTTGGTGGTGGACTCAAGCATTTCTTGGTTTCAGTACTGTAAATTATCAAAGGGACATGCATTTCCCTGAAAACCATGGGGAATTAAGGAAACATTTTCCTTGGATCCCATTCCAAAAATACTGTTGTCAAACCAAGACTCTGCCCAAGCTGTGTCTTTACTTTGACTCCAAGTCACAAGATATCACTTTCTCTGGTGCTGCCCCGGCGCTTCTCTGTCTACTCTCTGCTGCTCCTGTCTCACTCTTCTACAGACAGACCCACCAAACCAGTGTCCTGGATTCTTATTCTGCACTTTTGCTCATACTAGTGCAGGTCTTAGCTGCTCTCCTGTAATCTCTTTCTGTATGAATGAATCTGGTTGCTTCCTACATTTGTCCTCAGTGTGACCATCCTCAGCATAATACCATGCTTTCTAGTAAATTTACAGTTCCAAGGAAATAATATGAATCATAAAGCACTTGAAAATCCTATGGAGCATGACGCTGTGCTGCAAAACTAGCTACCAAGTTAATTGATAGATCTTAGAGAGGTTGTTTTCTTTAAAGCAGTCAACAGGTTTTGCTCAACTATACACCAGTAAATGGTAAACCTTAGGATGCCACTATAGAAAAAAAATACTTTGGCAGTTGAAACATTTATCTTAGATTTTGATTGCTGCAGCAGGCATAAGAAGATCAAATGTGATGTTAGTGCACGCATATGGACTTAATGAGGATTATTCAGGTTTATGTTTAGTCATCTGTTTGTTAAAATCTTATAATTTTAATTAATTATTGGAAGAAAACTTTAATGTGGTCATGAATCTGAGGTGCATCTGAAGAGGAGAAATTTGAAGCAAGTCTGCAGACAGTCTGCCTGTAAATTAAAGGAGAACATCAGTACAAAAGGTGAATGGTTCATGTTTTCTCTCTTATTCTGGAATATTTTTTTACATCCTTTGAGCCTGTTGTAGTAAAGGCAGAAATACTCACAAAGTTTCTCTTGACCTGTGCTTCTACTTGAATACGTTATAACTAAACACCAAAATGCATAAACAGCCCTTGAAGCTGGGATAAGAAACTCAGGCTCCACAATAGGTGAGGACTTGAAAAGAGAGTAGGTGAAGTCCTGACCACTGTCATGCCCAGCAAGTAATTAAAGTAGCATAGGCTGGCTGTGTTTTGCAGGAGAATTTGATTTATTCCATTGGGCTAGGTGTGATCCAGGTTTTTAATAGGCCCTCAGGGTATTTAGACACAAAATGCCTAAACTGATTAATTTTTGTGTGTGACGCAGGTGCCTAGCAATAAAAAATGGAATAGAGGAAGAAGGTGGGGGGTGGCTTCCAGGGTAGTCATTGCCTGGGCATTCACTGTGCATTGGCCTGCTTGTGGGAGGTAGAGAGTGATTGCTTCTGTATCGCTTTTTTTTCCTCTTTCCTTCACTTGTTAAGCTGTCTTTGTCTTGACTCAAAAGTTTCCGCATTTTTGCTCCTTCTATTCTCCCCCCCTGTCCTGTTGGGGACAGGGAGTGAGCAAGCAGCTACATGGGTGCTTGGCTGCTGGCTGGCATCAGCCCACACCACCTCAGAAGCCTTTATAAAGAAAACTTCCTGCTAAAGACACACCTCATTATTTGTGCTGTTTTCTGTTGGATTATCTCTTGATTTAAGAGACAATTGTGTCATTTAGGCCTCTATTAGCTACCATAATACAATACTGCATGGCATATAACGCAAATAATAAGATATACTCAACAGAACCAGAACAATCCTTTGATCTTTTCGTGATTCAGGAACACTTTATTCACCTTGTTTATCCCAGCACGTCTATTGTCAAGAGCTTCTAAAACTCACAGAGATACATTACAACCTCCGTTTTCCCCTTCTGGTTTACTTTGATTACATTTCTTGTTCAAGATGACTCCTTGGTAAGGTTACAGTCTGCCTCAATAAACAGGACACAAGCAGGGCAAAGAGGTGGGAAGGAACAGAGGTTAGAGCCGTGACTGCATTTTTTCCCTCTGTAAAGGCCATTTACTTAGTTGTAGGAGAACATCTCTTGAAGACAGAAAGTGACACCAGAGAGGACCACATTCAAATAGCTCAATTTCTTCGTCAATAAAAGAGGCTTTAATTTCAGCAGCATGAGCTGGATCCAGAGCCTGCCCTTACCACCGCGAGTCTACCACCTCGTGCTGAGCAGGTAGTCATACCCCACCTCCTCCCAGCAGCTGCAATAGCTGCTTCATCCTATGCAAGCAGCTGCCATCTCCCTCTCCCTCTCTCTAGCAAGAGCAGCAGTCCCATCCATCCTCCTGCGCTCGCCGCTGGGACGTGAGCTGTTACGGGGTGGCTGTAGAGTGTTTCTGGTTGTGCTAGTTTTAGAAAAGTGAACTACTGCTGCAGCAGGGGTAGGAGCAGTGGGCAGTAGTTTTTGCTGGAAGAAGCATCGTCTCAGCTCTCTCAGCAGCTGATGACATCCAGCTGTTGAAGCACCTTCTCTGGGAAAAGATGTCGAAGTGGATGCAAGTGCAGAGCATTAGTATTTTCCCCACTTAAATTGATAAGTACTTGACTGTTACTGTTGCTTATAGCATGTACAGAATAGAATTGACCCCAAAACAACGTTTTAAAGTCTTTTACCTAACAGTTGTGTTTCTCGTTGAATCTTTGAAACAGTAGTAATTCCAGCTAGCTTCCTTTTCAGAAATGAGATGGAGATCGGTAACAGGTGGTAGCATTTAGAGTTCATATGGTTATCTGGCTCAAAGGGAATCTGGCCTATGACCAGGAATTGTTTGTGCCACAATACATAAAGTACATACTGTCTGTGTGAAAGTTTGCTTCCTGTATTGGCTCTAATGTTTAATACAAACACAGTGTTTCCTATAGAAGCCAAGGTACTTTCAGTTCTACAGATAAAATCTTTCTTATATGCCCTCCTTTTGTCATTCATTTGCCATATTGTGCTCATTCTATTTGCTATCTACTCATCTGAGAAAATAGTAAACTAAATGAAGTAATTGTATTGATTTTTGTTGTTTGAATGTCTTTTTTGTAATTTGATGAATTATAGTTGTATCAGTTCCCAGTTAAGCGCATGCCTGTTGGAGGCTATTCACTATCAGTTGTTTGGAAAAATGCTAAAGATAAAAGCCTGTATTAAGTTAACCATGCTCAACTAGTTCACTAATTAGAATCTTAATTCTCAGAAATCTGCAAGTAACATAAAATCTTAGTCTTTGGTGTAATGTGAAGAGACAGCATTCCCTTGGTGGCCAATTTAGACTGCACTCACATACATAGCCTTATAAAACTTGTTTGTTCATATGGTAAGTCTCCAAAGAATTTCCTTGTTTACCACTTTTCTTATCTTCTCAGCAAAAGGACAAAGCACACCCAGCATCTGTGGTTGGCACAAACATTTAAGTAAACTTCTCTGTGCTTATAACTGGCCTTCAGCTAGTGCCTCTAGCATTGCTACTGAGACATCATGGAAATAGTGTTCAGGTTGTGCTGTATACCAGGAAAAGATTCCTTTCTTTTAGCAATTATTATCTAGGCTAATACTTGTATTAATTTTGTAACTTTATCACTATAACAATAGAACATTTCCATAAATATTTGTGAATGTGTACTAGGTGAAATTCAAATGTTTTTTTTCTTTTTTCACTGATGCTTGCAGCTGGATGTTCTATGGAAAGAACTGTTTAGGCTCAAAACGTAAGGAATGCCATGAGACAAAACAGCCTTTTCTCACCTGAATGACACTTTTAGTTCTAAGATTCCATCTGATCATTTTGAAAGTCTTGAGCATTATGAAGTTATATGAGTCAAAAGCCACAGAGTATTAAGAAAAAAAAAGGCTCAATTACTGTAGTAATCTAACCTGTCAAATTTTGTGTGTTATTCCTAAGGAGCATTGTTTGTGTTGAGTTTAGACTCTATGTTTTGTGGATGACAAGCTACTGAAAGCAACTGATTTGAACAAACAAGCAATATTCTACAACAGAGTATACTTTCTCTCTATACATATGTATACCTCATAGAACATAAAATATTCTATGTTGTGCCATATTTATAGATGACTGCTTATTTTTCAAACCTGTTATTATTGCATTTAAGTATTACCCCAAATTTTAAAATCCACATACATTGTTACCCATTGTGGATAGACATATTAGAATATTTTCTTTTGTAGCAAGTCTCACTTATTGCTAAAAAGATTCCTCCTCTGAATTCTTTGTGGTTATCAATAAGCAAAAAAATCTTCAGTAAACTACATAGAACAATACATGCATAGACCAAGTAGGGTTAAAGTAATAAGCAACAAAGGATAAGGAGAAAAGTTTATCATTTTCTTCTGAGATAACGTGAATACCTGAAAGTAACTGGGTAAAAAGTGGTAAAGACTAGGACTTAGTCCTGATCTGTAAAGGATGAGGATGTACTTCTGGATGTTCTCAATTATTTCTGTTTCAGAACATCTGGGAGGTGTTCAGGCTGCAGTGGTAGTAACATACATGTAAAACCCATCATTATAAACTACTGGAAACTGCTGCAATACTGCACATGCACAAACCTTCTCAAAATGAGAAAATATTTATTTGTGCCTAACCCACTACAAATTGGGAAACTAGGGCTGACAACCCCTCCCCACCCTCTAGTGAGAGAAAACTGTCTTCTACTGCAAATTCAGACATTTGCAAAGGAAATTGCCATTTAGGCCTCTGAGCCAAGGAAGAATTGCAATGATAAATCAGAAGGGTTATCATGCCTGTACCTATCATAAAAGCAATTTTCAAAGAATCCCGTAAAATGTTTATTGAGAGCCACTGCAGGCCTACTGACAGGCTCTCAGGTTCTGCTCCACTGATTATAAGCTGTTGGTAACTGATGAAATACTGCACTAGCAGAGGTCCTTGAAGAATGAAATTGCATTTGCTTCTTGCCTGCCACAGCTATGGAAGGAAAGCTGTGCTTGTGAGATCAAACTCTGAGAAGTTGTAAAAACATATTCACATAGTCTCTTCACTTATGAACAATCCTAATGACATGGGACGCCAAGTTAAGATACCAACTGTGATGTTTGCAGCTAGCAATGGTGAACATTTATCTACCACCACTAATTTATTAAATTAATATTAACTTTTTCTTTCCATCATTTTGACTTTTTTTTCCCCTCTGTTGTCTTTCTAGGTTTTTAATGACCAACAAGTTCTATGGAGGCTCAGCTAGAAATTGGTCCACTTTAGATTCAGTTGAGATTGTACAAGATGAAGAAAAGTTTGCTAAATTTAATGTTTCTGTCATCTCTGCTCCTGCAGAGTATTCATTTCATTGTCAGCTGGTGGGAACAAGCAATCTCTATCCTGCAAGGCTGATTCCATCCAACAATGAGGCAAGAAACTGGGATGTTTTCATTTCCAAGTTGCAAGTGAGTACACATTTCCATTTCAGAGATAATTCCAAGAACTATTACTTGCTATTGTAGGTGCTGAAAGACACACATTCATAATGCCCTTACTTTCATTTCAGCCTGAGGGAAAATGTAAAAGAAAAGCTGTTCCCCCTAGGTGAGCTATTCAATAAAGGGGTAAAAAAGATGGCAGTTGCTGAACAATAAGAACATGAAAGCACAGCTTTGAAAAAAACCCCCAGACTATGAAGTTGTCCACAGAAAAGAAAAACCAATAAACCAAATGCCCTTAATCAGGCAAAGAATGACTAAGTCCCCATGCCTGTTTGATGAATTGGTCCGCTATTGGAAACGTGGGCCTCTTAGGTGGGTGGCTTTATGCTGCTTACTTTGCACTTTGTTTACCTAGGAAAGTAGAGCTTAGTGTGGGTACTGTTTTCAGTGACATAGACTGACTGTACTCCTACAGATAGAAACAAAGCCCAGTGCAATTAGATTTAATGGAAGGTTTGCCATGGACTTCAATCAGGAGCAACAGTAGGTCCCGCACAGCCCAGAAGGAGAGCAGGCGGCTTTTTTTTTTTTTTAATGAGGCATAGATTTTCTCTGTATTTAGTGCAGTAGTACAGAGTCCGTATGTGAGGTGTCGATGATTGCATCTTTATTATTTTGAGCATTGATCTTGACCTAGGAGAAGCACATCAACATTTATATCTTAAAACAATATTGCACTAAGCAATCTCTTTGATTAAAGAGATCATAGAAATGGCAGGAATCATTCCAAACTGGACTCTATTTGTCAAAGATGAGCTAACCCCATGATAACTGGATACAAATGCTGATATAAATATATTTATGATTTTGATAACAAACCAGATCTCAATAATCTGACTCCAGATTTGACACTTCTGCTTAAACAATGGAAATCTCAGCATTGGTGCTGAGGTTTATTTTCCACAAATTCCAGGATCAAGTCCCACAGTTTTTTGAGAAGCAATGTAGCAATACACACCAATGTTGTGAAGGTTCATCCTGATGGTATTTTTTATGGAAAGGCCTGAAAATACCTAAGTCCACGTAACTGTACTTTGCCTAGTCAAGTCTCTGAAGTTAGACTTTGGCATCGCTAGGCTATGAAAGTACATGGGTGTCCTGGTTTCAGCTGGGATAGAGTTAACTGTCTTCCTAGTAGCTGGTACAGTGCTGTGTTTTGAGTTCAGTATGTGAAGAATGTTGATAACACTGATGTTTTCAGTTGTTGCTCAGTAGTGTTTAGACTAGAGTCAAGGATTTTTCAGCTTCTCATGCCCAGCCAGGGCACCTGACCCAAACTGGCCAACAGTGTATTCCATACCATGTGACGTCCCATCTAGTTTAGGAACTGGGAAGTGGGGAGCAGGGATTTGCCGCTCGGGGACTGGGTGTCGGTCGGCGGGTGGTGAGCAATTGCCCTGCGCATCATTTGTACATTTCAATCCTTTTATTACTACTGTTGTCATTTTATTAGTGTTATCATTATCATTATTAGTTTCTTCTTTTCTGTTCTATTAAACCATTCTTATCTCAACGCAGGAGTTTTACTTCTTTTCCTGATTTTCTCCCCCATCCCACTGGATGGGGGGGGAGTGAGTGAGTGGCTGCGTGGTGCTTAGTTGCTGGCTGGGGTTAAACCACGACAATGGGGTATGAAGATACAAAGCATCCACTTACAATGTATCTTTTCCTTGAATTTCTATATACATTAATACTGCTGCCTTCTCAAAGCTTACCGAGGGGCCTTGCTCCATTCTTAGTAGGCATCCTTTCATTGGGGTCTTGATCAAGAGTAGTAGTAATAGGTTTCCCACCTTCCTTATTGATTTGGAGCAGCAGCTGCTTCCACTGTTAAGACAACTGAATTTCCAGTTCCTCTTAGGAAAGGCCTTTTTTCTCTGGTCAAGTCCTAAGCATGGAACACAACCTGAAGAGTCCTGTTCTGATCTTTTCTGTTGTGTGAGAAAACAGAAGGTCACCATTCTGGGTTCATTTCTAAGTTCTATCTGAACTAGATCATACCTTTCCAGGTATCTTTTACTGATACGTAGTGAAATCTGATTGATCTCAATATCAGCCTTTGCTCTAGAATGAGATTTAGAAACACCCACACTCTGTTGCATGGTGAAGAAAGCACACGGGATGTTCTCAGTGGTTGCAGCCAGCACAAAATCTTGTTGCTGAAACTGAGGAACATGATTTTCATGTCAATGTTATGCCATGAATTAGAAACCAGGATCCAATGCCAATCTAGCTGGTACAATTACACTTTGCAATGTTGGGTCCTGAAAATAGTATCACTGTATTAGAGGGACACACCACCTGCACAGTGAAGCCTTGTTGTTGTTGTTACAGGAATAGTTGTTCTACCACGATATCTTTTATGCTTTTGAGGATCTCAGAACTGTCCATGAAGTTGAAGAGGAGGCTGCCACCAAAAGCACTGCTTTTCTTTCGTATGTGTCATAGAGTTTAGAAGCCCCTTTGTTCCTAAGAAAAACTGCCAAAAACTTTAAAATCAAGAATATTAGGATTCTTTGTGGCTAAAATATTTCTAAGTTCAAAAATAGATGTTCAGTGAATGCTTACAAGCAATGAAAACAACAGGTTTTATCTGAAGGCTATGGCAAAGGTCAAATGATGAGAAAACTCCATGAAAAAAAATATTTTAAAAATTAACAGTAAATGCAAACTAGTATAATGAAGACAAATTACACTGGTCCAGATACTAAAATTAAAACTTCCACAGTACAGAGGCCTGTATCCAAAAGGCTTTTACATTCATAAAAATTAGAGAACCACATGTAAGTATTTTTAACTTTTCTATAGGTAGAAATGCTGCTAGGAGTCACATTTTTATCTCCCACCTGGGATCTAACACCCCCACAGAAATGATAAAGCTTCAGAAAAACAATAAAAGAACGCTGCATATACTTCATCTCCCGCCTAAAAGTAGACATAACATTTTAAGAATGTACAATTAAAGCTTTCACCTCGAAGGTTCAGTAATCATAATCCTGCTTCAAAAAAACCCACAATAGGATTGACATAATAAAATTCAGTACTTCTGGCTCTAGATCAGAAGCAGTAAAGCCTTTCTAAACCTAATATACCTGTTAAGTGCTTCAGAGAGTTCTTGTAAATGTGGTAACAAGTGTGTATTGTTTTCCAGAATTTCAATCCATTTTTGAACATAAATGACATAAATCATCAGCTGCTTTCTGTTTTTATTGCAAATAAGTCTTTGAGACTACATTTCATCACTCCTATTCGCATTCTCATCTGTTGTCAAAGCAGTGCCTTAACAAGTGAAGGCTTTGGTAATCACCTGTATTCTCTAAAACTGTGCAAACAGTTATCCAACCCAAAAGCTTATTTTCACTAATCCTGCTTTAATTGGAAGTCTGACTGCCTATAGTGAAAGCAGGCAGTCTTTGCAAGTCAGCTACCATGATCTGACTTGGAAAGATTCATCTAAGAGGCCCAGAAAAGCTTAAATTGCTAAAATTGTCTTTACCTCCACAGTACGTAAATAGCCCTTAGTTCTGCATATAATAATAGTTTTATTAAACAGCATTCTGGAAGGTATAGACATTGGTCTTAACACACATACTATGTACACATTTACTTTAGGTGCCTGAGCCATGAATGAACTCAAACCCAGAGTGCTCTCTGGTGTAGCATGGTATGCAAGCTACAAACTAAATTCTTCAATGTTGGTACCAACACCTTTCTTTTATTACCACAAAGCTTTCAATTTAGTTTATCGTAAAGTATAAGCTAATCATGGAGTGGGAACATAGAAAAGTAGAAATCCATGATGATCCCCAAATTAGTTGATTTTTATGAGGAAAATAATATGGTAGGAGCTCAGTCAGTGGCAGACCTCGAGAATCCAGTCAAGGAGAGATATTACAGATTTTTCTAACTGCTGGAAAAGCCTATACGGGTTTCATATGTTAATAGACAACACAGATCCCATACCTCAATAAAGCAAGCCCTCTCTCCTGTTTTAAGTCTCTGATGTCTAAGGAGGGTGGAAGAAAGATTTCACAACTGTTTTCTCCTTGAACTTTAACTAAAACTCAGCCAAAAAGGTCATCTTCATTAGATGCATTTTAAAGTAGGTTTCAGGAGTTCCACTTGTCAAGGAGTTATTAGCTAAAAATCTCAGGGTATTTCAACAAATCTCATGATCTTGGAGGGCTTTAACTCTCATGTCTTCGAGTGCTTTGAGTTTCCTACTTCATAAGTGGTCACTGAGCAATACTGATCACACATACCCTTTGGGACTTTACTTCCAAAAGTAACACAAATTTCTGAAGTGGGCAACCTACTTCTTGCCAAACAAATGAATTCTGCATCTTTAATTTCCTGTGTGAAAAGGGGATCTGGAAAATTGTTATGCAGAGGAATTGGTTCTCAGTCTTTTTTAATGGGCAGAGTGTGAATGGTAATTAACAGGTGCGGGTTTTGTAATTACCACATATATCCTGAAAGTAGGGCCTATGCTCCATGCTTAATTGCACTCATCTATCTACCTTTCTTCATTTTCAGATTCAAGGCTTCAACATTGAAAACAACCAGTTTTCTTATGCAAGTGACTGTACAGGTTTCTTCACTCCTGGAATCTGGATGGGCTTGGTGACGTCTATAATTTTACTGTGGATCCTGGCCTATGGTATCCATATGATCATGCAGCTCACAACAAACAGCAGATTTGATGATCCCAAAGGTGCAGCTCTGTCAGTTCCTCAGACAGAATAGCCATGGATTGACTTAATGCTGCTATGGCTTTTCCTGGTCTGATATTTATGATTTTTAGAACCTTTCTACTTCATATGTGTAACCTAAAAAGATATCATAGCAGAAAGGGATAATTAAACTACATATAAAAAGGATCCTCATGCTTGGCAACAATAATAATTCTACTTGTTATTACCCTCATTTGCTAACAGCCATCTGTGTTAAGGGTCTGAGGTGAGGCTGTAGAGGTTATTACTGTATTTGGCTGTTAGAAAGACCATTACAAACTGCCATCAGATCAACTGTTATTGGCAAAGAAGGATATCACAACAGAGATAAATGGGAAGGATAAATAACTTATTTGATAGGAAACTATATATTGAAACCACTGGTCTCCGTAAAGGCTCTTTAGTAAGTATGTCATGTTGATGCTACACCTTAAGAAGGCTGAACTGTGTTTTGCCATTTTTTCTCCTGAGAAAACCATCCAAAAATGTACGGAACTAATAAAGTATAAGTCACTAAATAAATGGTCTTGAAAACTTTTTTCAAAATACATCACTTTGTTCAGATATAGTATCACAAATGAGAATAGGTGAATTAAGGTTTAGCTTCCTTCTAATGTTATCTTATGCCTGTGAGAATGATGTTGAGTAATGCTAACTCGTGTTTGTTTTAGCCATGGACAGCTGATGAAGTTACTAAGCGAGATAGGTCCTTGCCTACACAGATCACAAAATTATATTTGGTGTCATGGCAATGAATGCAACTTTTCAAGCCCATAACCTAGTATGATTCAATGTGCCAGTGCAGACAGCATCTTAACAGAGATAACGTAATTTTCTTAGCATCCTTCCTTTTCTAGGTATCTTTGGAGTAGTTATGAAGTTTGTGCAAAAAAGGAAAAATAAAACATATAAAGTCATTAGAAGCGCTGTGCTAATGTACTGTTTAAGCTTGAGCATGTTTATGGTCATCTCAATGATTCCAGAAGCCTGAAAACATTCAGAGTGTGCTGAATTCTTCTGCAATTAATAGACACTACATCTTCTCATTGTTCTCATTGGGCAATCTGACTATGGAGTGAATTATTAAATGTTATGAAAAACTAGGAAATAGTAAAAAAGCAATGGTAAAATGGTAAAAAATGGTAAGAATAACATTTTCATTCTTCTGTAATGTTTTGACTGTGCATGTTCTATAAGTAGTTAAAGAACAAAAAGATGTCATTTTGACAAAATTACATTTGTCAAATGAGAAAAATTCTAACTTTTCTGATCTTGATCCATGTCATAGGACAATGATACAGAGGAAAGACAGTTAGAATCAACTATTTAACTAGACCAATAATAGTTTCTACCCATCATTCCTGATTGTCACATTTTTATCATGCAGTCAAGGAGGTAAATTAAATGCTGTCTGAAGCTATTCCTCCTGAATCATTCAATCCTGACCTGGAAAACAAAAAGAAAGCTGGCATGTAACTAGCAGAGGTGAGTCCTCCGCTGTAATATTTTTCCCAAATGTTTTTCAAAACCTCAAAGAATGCTGGCATTTGATCTACGCAAAAATGCTGTGTTAGAAAGGCACGTTTTCTTTGCAAAAATTAGTTACTGGACTTGTTTTATTAATTCTCCCTTAAAAGCAAGTTACATGAATGTGACAATTGAAAATTGACATAATAGTCATGTGACTGATAGCTAGAAGAGAGGAAGCCTATTAAAAAGACTTGGTTTGTAGAAGACAGCTTTCTTATGATTTTTATCTAGATTCAACAAAATTTGGAACAGATTTTGTTCAACAGTGGTGATATACAAGAACTGAAGAACAGCTTTACAAGGCCACCCAGCTCAGGAGCCTATCTCAAGCAGTGGTATGAGTATGGTGAGCACATAGCAGTACTTCCTGCAGATTTCTCCCATTCTCCACCATTTAAGCTCAGGGACTTCCTCAGCCAGAGGTCGTGTCTTCGTATTTAATAACTCTGGGTATAGTTATAGTCCATGAATTTGTCCAGCCTCCTCTTCAGCCTGTGGAGTCTGCTAGAGCTCACGGTGTCCTGATTATAGTGTGGCACTGGGGATACCTGTCTCCTCTCTTGCTCACCTGGGCTGGACTCTGGAGAAGAGGAGGAAGCAGAGTCTCATATAGGCCATACCGTGGGCAAGAGATAAGCCTCCTTCAGAAGAGCTCAAATTGGAAGAGATGTGGGAAGAAATGTTTGTTAGATTAGCTTTTCGCTGATTCAGTAAAACTGAAGCCCTCTGAAACGGGCCAGACTGAACTGTCTGCTGTGTTTGATATTACACGTTCCAGGGTGAAGGGGAAGGCGTTTCGGGGGAGAGAAGCTTTTTCCTTCCACCTTCTCTCGTGACAATGATGCCATGAATACTTTGGCAAGTAGGGCCTGTGGGGACATATAGCCTGTTTCTATAGTGAGCTGGGATGTCCCTGGGACGGAAAGCTCAAGCCACGTGCTGTAGCCCTTGATGTGGTAGGATTATCCTTGTGAGGTCTGTGCTGGGAAAGACAGCAGAAAAGGAGAGGAGCTGCCTACAGTCCTAGCTGTCCTGGGGGCCAGGCGGACTGGGCTGTGGGGACAACGGCCGGTCCCTCTCAGAAGAGGATCCGCTGCTCTCTGACCACATGTGGTGGGTTGACCTTGGCTGGCTGGCAGATGTCCACCCAGCCATTCCTGGCCTCTCCCCGCAGAGACCACCCTTGCTGCCAAGACCTGGACACGGACATCCAATACACCCCCTCAGGGGACCGCGTGTCCTGCCGGAGTCCCCGTGCCACCTCGGACCCCTGCAGCTGCACATCACGGTGCCCTGTGGCTGGAGACAGAGACAACTGACCGCTGATTTCAGCAGGGCTCGATTACTTCCTTTTAAATAGGGCTAGGCCTCAAGAACTTCTAGCAGGATTTTGCACCTTCCTGTGTTTGTTTACCTTTCTGAATAAAGTTAGAAACCTGCCAGGAGCCTTCCAGTTCTGTGTACTTCTGATTTCACAATTCATCTTAATCACAGGTGTACTTGTTAAAACACGCCTGCTTTGGGAGCTGTTCCAGCCAGAATATTAGCTCTGTCTGGAAGGTGTGAGCCTTTAGGACCTCCCCCCAGAGGTCACTGAAGTTATCAGAAGTACTGCCTTCCATGAGTGCTAACTCATTTCTCTACAAAGTACAAAAAAATTTAAGAAAGATGGAGGGGATGACTGGAAAGAGCATCAGTTAGAAAAGTAGAAGTGGTTGGTTTTTTTTTTCTTTCAAACATATAAATAAATGGAACTTTTTCAAGGAAAAAATATCAGAAACTATCAAAAAACTATGGTACAACTCAAAGAAATCAATTTAACTGTGAAACAAATCAAGATTAAAACCAGAGAAAACCCAAACACGAAAGTCCTGAAGCCATAAATTAAGGTATTTCTTCACAAAATTCAGTAATAATCATTTGTGGGAGGGGAGAGCTGAGATGGAGCTAGAATCTGAACTTCCTGACCTGATACAGGTTTGCTTTGTGTTCTGGTCTGTTGGTTTCTCTGCTTGTAAAATTACTTTTTTCACAAATCATGTGGAAACCCAGCAATGACTTTTCATGAAACAGAATTATAATAGAAATAGTCCAAGAGTAGTCTTTTTATGTAGGCGATAAAGGAAGATAAGTCATTCCACCTGTCAAGGAAAGACTCAATGAAGTAATTGGCTCCTCCTTTCCTTCTAGGTGACTGATAAATAATTAATTTACAAACGTAAATCAGCTGAATTATTAGGCAGTATCCAGGTGTTAGAGGGCTCTGTAATTATTTCAGCATAAACTGGGGTCAAGCAGGGGAAACCAGAGATGCTGAAAACAAGGAACAACCATGAGAAGCTGACTCCTAAGATAATCAGATATACAAGAAGCCTGAATGTTGGATACTGGTCACTGCTGGCGAAAAAATAGCAGTAGTCTCACCAGGTGGTGATGATTGTGGGGGCAAGCATAGTGATAATCTCATCCTTACATTGAACAAGAGAATGAGACAACCCACACAAAGGGGGCAGGGACTGCTTTTCCTGAGGGCTGTTTTTAATGTTGCATCCTGTGGTCGGTTGACCTTGGCCGGCTGCCAGACACCCACTCAGCTGCTTTCTCACTCCTCCTCCTCAACAGGACAGGGGGAGAAAATAATATGGACAAGCTTGTGGGTCAAGATAAAGGCAGGGGCACCACTTACCAGTTACCATCATGAGCAAAACAGACTTATGGAAGATTAATTTATTGCCAATTAAAATAGGTTGGATAGTGAGAAACAAAAACAAAATTAAAACAACACCTTCAGTCTGCTGAAATGCCAAAAAATCCTGTGGTGTCTAATATCTTCCAGTAAAGGAACCTGTTCTTCAGTTTACTAATAAATGTTCTGCTCTCAGATCAGCCCATTCCCTATTGAAACTTAATGCAAAATCAAGGAGAAAAGAGTAGTTTCTTCAGAAGCCAGATTTCTAAAGGCTTGAAAATTATTGAAGTGCATGGGGGAAAAAAAAAAAAAAAAAGGAAAGAAATTAGGTCTTGCTAAGCAGTGGTTCCCTAAGTAGTCTCTCACTTCCAAAATGTGGGATGGTGTCTTAGTCTTTCTACCTGTGTGGGTGGACAGGAGACTTAGGACAGTGACTGAGACCAAGAGCAAATCATCTGCTATTGACGTCCCACAAATGAAGTGGCTTCCTTGTCTTCACCACAACTTTTTGTATGCCTCCTGTTTGAACACAGGTTCCCTGCTCCAGATTGGCTGGATTTCTGTATAACCCCCGGACCTGGTATGTTCTTGAATTATTATAGTTGAACTTAGTTTTAGACTGGTTTATGTATTGTTCATTATTGACATAATGGAAGATAGTTTACTGAATGATCATATATTTTCTGCTTTGCAAATGGAAGTGTGGTTGTCCAGTGGAAGACTGGGAAACCCATTTTGAGTCTGTCTTAATACTCCTTTAACTAGTTGTGTAGAAGTAACATAAAATGAATGGTGTACAGTCACTGTGACACCATATGCAACTTTCTTTAATGAAAACTGTGCAAAAAATAATGTTTGCAACATAAAAAAACTCCAACAAATGCTTTCATAGAATTACTTTTGGAAGGTGGATAAGTTAAGGACTTTCTGATGTAATGTTTGAATTATAATTTTGTGTATCCTATTTATCCTGGATAAATATGGATATATATGGATAGCAGAGTGATCAATTTAGTTCTGTAACAGATATCTTTCACTGAAGCATACTGGCATGATTTGAGATATTACTGTCCCTATCTACCCTGCCTTTCATTCACATATACCTGTGCCTCAGCTGTTCATTAAGTTCACACCGCTGTGTTCTCT